TAGAAGATATAATTTCACAAGGAGAGCTTGTAAAGGTCTGCCGTAAAGTATATTGTTTCTTAAAAAATGCAGGATTAAAAGGAAATATCTAGACACGTAAATCTATTTGTAAACAATTAAGGTATTCAGGGTTTAAGATCACTCAAGAAGGCACTAAAACACCTTTTTCACCGACTCATCTGGAGTCGAAAACTCTTGCGGTGAAAACTTTTTCCCACCCCAAACATTGTCAAAAAGTTAGCATTATTTCTCGGACTATGTTCGTATCATGGAACGTTTATGAAATACTTTTCAGACATTGGTGAGCACCTTTTGAAGTTAAAAAGAAAAGTAGCAAAGTTTAAATGGGCTTGATTGGCAGACAAGGACTTCCAGAACTTAAAACAGACATTGATCAAGTGTCTGGTTTTTAACGTGTGCGACCCATAAACGACTTTACAAACTGACACGGATGCATCTGATTTTTCAGCAGGAGAGTTCTCATGCAAGAGGGACAACCGATAGCCTATTTAAGCAGAGCTAGGAGTCTAGCGGAAAAAAAATATTCCTTGATTGAATGGGAAACCCTGGCGTGTGTGTATGTGCGATGAAGAAATTTAGAGTTTATTTCTCGAAGAAACAAGTTGAAATATTCACTAATCATGAGGCCTTAACGAAGTTGGAAATTGAAAGGACTTTAATGCCGAGAATGAACAGATGGACCTTGAAACTGCAAAAGTACAAGCTGAAATTCCATCATAACCTTGGAAGGGAAAAAAGCAATAGATACTTTGTCAATAATTAAGGTAGATGAGAACGTTAATAAAGTGAACTTAGATTCTAGCGAAATGCTGATTAACTCATTGCAAAGAATTCGAGCAAATTTATGTATGTTTACAAGAACCAGAAACGTTTGTAGCAGTGAATGAAATAGGAATCAAGGGTGGGGCCGAACATTATGAAATAATCGATATTTCATTCTATAGAAATACGACGAATGAAAACTTAGAATTAAGTCCGGTTTTCTCAGTTCCTTTGATACTGGAACCTTTTTGCGAATTACATGACAACCCGATGTCGACATTTATGATGTTTGGAATATAATACAGAGAACGACAGAAATTGTTTCTTTTCCCAACGGGCAAAACATCACACCCCAATAAGTCCGGAGCTGTGTCACATACCAGAAGTGTAAATACGTAAATTTCAAATTGGGTAGCTGCTTAAATAGTATAAGATGTAGTTTTCCAAATTAATTTTTAAGAGTAGAATTATTAGGCCTTTATCCAAGAAACCAAGTTAGTAAAGCACGCTATTTGCTAGTCACTGCTGATCATTTCACTAAGTGGTGCAAACTATTATTAATAGGTAGTGCTTCAGCTAATGTCGTAGCAAATGCACTTTTAAAAATTCCAATTTTAAAATGCCGGAGCTCCACTAAAAATTATGTCAGATAATGACCCGCAACTGTAAGCAATATTTTTGAGAAGCTGTGCACAGACCTGATATAAAATAAATGAAAACTATCCCATACAGATTTCAGTCAAATATTGCTGAGCGCGTAAATAGAAATATAAGATAATTCTTTGTTACGTTAGAAAATATCATAGCAGCTGAGGCTGGTACATTGAATATTTAGCGTTCGCACTGCGGTCCGCGAAACAGGAAGTACAGGAAAAATCACTGGCAAAACTATTTCTGGGCAGAAAGATGATAATATCCTTGGGTAATTTCTTTTTTGTGCAGGAGAGAAAACTAGAGTTTCAATAAAAAGACATTCAAAACTTAATTGATGAGGCACTCAAAATGTCGGATTAAGTCCAGGGATAGACAGGTGACGGAGGACGGAAGCACCTAGCGTCTACCCGAGGCAAGCAGGTTTATGCCTCTCACCCTCCACTACCCAGCGTTTATTGAAGAATTTGATAACTTGGGTAAGGTACTTGGCCATACAAGGGCTCGATGGTGTTACAATGGCCACATTTTTGGAAATAGAGGATGCAAGAAATATCTTACAATGCCAGAATATAAAAGCAGAGAACATAAAATATGAAAGTAGTATAATAAATACAATAAATAAGGAGCACAATATAAAAGTACATAAGTAATAAATTTGCAATAAAATAAATAAGTAGTACAGTGTAAAAGGAGTATAACATAAAAGTACATTTAGTAGACAGGTGACGAAGAGCAGGGACACAAGGCCTCTAAAAGAGGTAAGTAGGTATACGCCCTACGTCCTCCTCTTTCTAGGAGCAACAACTCTCTGGAGTTAATTGAGAGCACCCTTCGGTGTTTAAACGAATACAAATACACTCGGTTTCCTTTTTGTTTGGTGTTTAAACAAAATTCGCGGTTCGCCGTGCATTGTAATTCGCATGATCACACTATATTTCGCTAAGTGTTCAGATTGCGCAAAGAATTCATTGCACCTCTGCATTACAGGAATATATGCTTTTTTGTTGACTAAAATGTGGGTAGCTCAATGAGTGAAAACCTTATATAACCTGTAATAGTAATACAAGATAATTCCTAGAGTTTTATTGTCCCAGGGATGAAATCGTGATGCTAGTCTGACATATCCACAGTCGCACGATTTTGTATAATTAAGCGTCTGTAAGTGCCCACGTTATTGAACAAGACAAAATTGTATTATGATAAAAGATGGAGTGACATGAATATAAAGATTAGAGATAGAATTTTTAAACAATTTAATTCCAAATTTGAAGGGCCGTAAGTAGTGGTGAATATCAAAGATACTGTAGTATTTTTACAAAACAATTAGGGACATATAAGTTCCATGAATTTTAAAGATCAAATTTTAAAGAATTTCGAGAAAGAGATAGGCCGTTGATGGGAGAAATGGGAATTCAAGCAGAGATACCGTGTAGAAGGCAGGCACAGATGATAGGCAACGTTGAACAAGAAAGGCTGAATAAAAAATTCGAGAAAAATAGCTCACCCTGAGAGTAGAAACGATGAAGAGGTGCAGAAAGAGGTTCATGTAAAAGTACCAGAGGCAAAGAGGTTGAGAAAAACGTCAGAAGGGCAAGATGAGAGGCTGTGTAAAAACAAGAAGCGAAGGTCTAGGAATATTATGGAGGGGCAGAAAAAGCAGTGCGGCAGGAAAATTTATGTGGGACCGCCAAATCGCAAAGAAAAGGTGGTTGTCTAGCATAAGGTGGTAAAGGAAAAGATTTACCTCCACGGCTAAAAAGGTCTTTCGGCTGGGGAAAAAAACCAAAAGACAAGCTGATGAAGGGGCCAAGTTGTAACACCAACAGGCCTCGTAAGAGCTGCAGCCTCCGAAAATCTGGAAAAAGCAGTGAATAAAAGTCGGAAAAAGAGGTCCTCCAGTTCTTCGTTGACGCATGATCAACATGCAACCGTAGCAAGAGGTTAATGTGGTTAAGACATCGTCGCTAAAGTTTGAGCTCATAGGAGAGTCGAAAAGCAGCCGCTTTCAAGGAGGGCGGTCTTGAAGAAGCTAACAAAATCATCGACACATCGAATGCAGCAGGAGCAGAAATCTAGAACTCATAGGGTTCGAAAATTGTTATCAACGACGAATGACGGACTGAAACAGTACGTAAGGCAATGGATTGGAAAAATAAAAGATATTTTTTGTTATTATTTCAAACTGAAGTGTTGTTCCAAAATTGAAACTAAATAACATTTAAATGTGATAATTTAAGCGGAAAACATCGACTATAATTCTGAAAAGATTTCAGATTTGTTTTATAGTGCAATATATGTTGAAATGTTAAGCTTAGAAATATTAAGTTTCTGAACTGTAATGTATGTTTAAATGTTAAATCTAGAAGGATTGCATGCTAATTGTTTGAAATTATACAGTATGTGTAAAGATAAAACCAGATGTCGTATTTCGACTTTCGGTAAAGAGGAAACTGAATAAGTAAAGAGAAAAATAAGCTAAATCTACAGCACAGCCCACTTAAGTAAAAGAGAAAAATGTAGAGATTAGGGTAGAGCATGTAGTGTTAAAATGTTGTCAAAAAGTCTCGGGTATAACTATTATGATATACGGAAGTGAACAGATGTACACGGAAAGATAAGAGATGCACTAAGTTGTTTTCAGAACAAATAAAATGACCGTAGATAATTATTAGGAAAGATTTTAACTAAGAATGAAAAAATAAATGTTTTATAGCAAAATAAATATATTGTAGTGAAATTAAATGTATTCGTGTGCTTAAGATGCCTTTTCTCCTCTCAGTTGAACTGGGAGGATGAATTATGCAAGACTTTAATTTTTTTAAAAGAGTAAAATGAATGTAAAAAGACAATGCTAAAGATAATCGCTTTTCATAAAATCCATTTGAGAACTTTTATTCAAAGCAGTTCTGGAAGGAGCGAGTGTGTTTATGTTTAAGTTTTACTTAGGAAATGTTATTTAATTTAATTCTTTCCTTTTTGCTGCTTTTCGCCACGAATTTCGCTCATTCCAGAATTTATGTAAATTTGAGTGGTAAGCAGTTTTAGCATAAAGTTTAGAGAATTACGGACAACAGAGCTGCGCTGCTCGACTGCGACAAACAGACAGTCGACGACGCTAATGAAGATTTTGTTGGGAAAACTTTAGATTTGAGGTTAAATCCAGTTTTGTTAAGTGCGGGTTTGAAATTCTGCAGTAGGCTAAGCAATCTTATTGTCTCTAGTCAAATTAGATTATTCCTTTGCAATTTAATTTATTCCATTTACATCCTTTGTAAAAGAAAGCTTTGAATTTTAAACCAGACCAAATTTATGTTTGTGTATTTTAATTTAAGCACTCACGAGGGACGAGATAGAATAAACGTAAAGTGTTTTAAGTCTGTGTCTATCTATCTAATAGTTATATATTCCGGTTCTGATAATTCACTTCACTGAACAAAGGTGTAATCTTATTGATATTGCTAAATTATTTGAAACCCAAAATATGAGCTACACAATAATTATTTATAATCATAACCACTTCGTAAAAGGTATAAAGAAGTAAACTTATTTCATAAATTCTTCAGGGATTTAGAGTAGTTCTGGCAGAAGAATGCTGGCATATTTCATTGAAACCACTAGTGGAAGATATAAAGAAGCAGATGGGAGATGGTCATGTTTACATCAGCATTGATATTGACGCACTGGATCCCTCTTTTGCTCCTGGAACAGGTATTTATCATTTGAAAGCATCTGTAAGCATTGAAAAGATATTTTCATCTTAATCTATATGTAAAAGGAGAAACTAAAGCCTTTTTGATCAGGCATGAATGTATTGCCCTTTTAAATTTTCCTATGATACGTTGCAAATCCTTTTTGCTCTCTCATCTGTACCTTCTGTGAATGATAATCTACTAATTTTCGTTTATTACCATTGAGGATGCCGGTTACTTGAAATTTACCAATATCCTGCAATAGATGATCACAACTTACAAGTTTTGAACAGCCTCACCAAGTAACGATATTTGTTAAACGGCAAATGAATCCCAGCTACTTTAAAAAACTAACTACTTTTCCCTAATAATCTATTTCCTACTACTATTTTATGTTACAACCATAATATAAGACTATTTTCTCGGTTTACCTGCTGTACAGGATTATAAAAAAAAAAAGACTGACCATTGGCTTTGTTTCTTAAATTTTTGAAATGCAAAGTGGTAGATATAAAATGAATGAATTGTTCAAATTCATTGTTCAAAATTGTTCAAATTGTTCAAAATGAATTGTTAAAACTATTTTATTTGATTTTTAGTTACAAACAGCCTTAAGATAATAATAAAATTTTTGCCAGATTTGTTTAACCATTATAATAAATATTTTATTTCTTAAACATATTAGCTGTTTAACAGAGAAATACATCAGAGTAACAAAAAACATTATGGACTTCTTTGAATATTATTTACCACTTAAACACTTTCTTCTGTATGATGCCTTGATCGAAAATGCAGTATATCGACTACAGCAATTGTTATAAATTACTTTTAAATCGAAATGACACCTTCGAAAATTTCAGAAAACGTTAATTGGTCATAATCAAGCATTTACAGAGCTTAAACAAGACCACAGAAGAAAATTCAAAGTATTCAAGAACTTAAATTATAGAGTAATAATATTCATAGAATAATTTAAGTTATTCTATGGCAGTATTCTATCAAAACTGTTCTATCATAGAATAATTTAGCCACAGAATAATTCAAATTATTAAATGGCTAAATTAGTCTAGAAATTCAAATTATATTACAGCAATAGTCTAGTAAAACTCTTCTATCGTACAATAATTTAGCCTCATAATTCAAATTGTTATATGGCTAAATTAATGTAGATATCCAAAGTCTTGAGCCAAATTTCTCTATGGCAGTCATAGAATTATTCAGTTCTTTACACTCAAGTTACACTTAATTACAGAATCATTCAAATTATTGCTTCTAAGTGAGAATTTTAAAAAGAAACGAACAAAAATAACTTGGAATAACACTTGTTGAATTAAGAATTCGAAATACGTTTTAAAGTAAAGTGATGAGCACACCGAAAAGAAAGGAAGGGAAAGCCATTTAATAAAACCAGTGTTTCAATGGCTTAGAACTGCACTTCTTAAACTTTTTTTCCTTCCTGACCCCTTTTTAGCATCGAACTTTTCTCTTACCCTGTAAGGATTATGTTAATTTTATTAACAGTTAGATTTTGAGTTAAAGTTCCTTTCCTTTCGATTCTTAACTTACTACTTCCGGTCAGAAAGTAGTTTTAGAAGCACGTCCGAGTACATAATGAGGAAGAGCGGTATTTAACTGCGAAGTTCTTCGGTCTTAGTGACAGAGATAGCAGGTATTTTGTCTGCACGCGTCCGCCTTTTTAGGCTACTCTCTCGTAAGCTATTATTAGCTCGGCCGTACTTTAGGCCCTTGATAGCTTCGCAGTCTATTGGCGTTAAGGGGCCAACTCGGTTAGAACCTTGATAGCTTCGGTCATATCTCTTTAGTTTAGTTAGTTTAGTATTATTCTTAGTTTCTTAAGTTCAAAGCAGCCCAAGTGTTGGCTTTATTGTACACTCCAAGACGGAGTTTGTTAAACTTTAGTTGGAATAATAAAGGGCTAGTTTACCCTTCTATTTTGTTGTTTCCTGTCACACGAGCTCAAGCGATTATTCGCTTATCAGTTCTTAAGTTTGTTCACGTTCAACAGTAACTCAGCATTACACTGTGAGGAATACTACAACCCCAGATTTTAAATATAAAATAAAGATATAAAAATAAATATTTTTCCCAAAATAACTTATTTCTTTTATAAATAGCATACATATCAAAAGAAATAATTTTAGGGTTTATTTCAGGTAGACAAAATTAATGAAAGAAAATCACGTTTTAATGACACGGATGTGCTTGATTTTTGCTGCACAACAAATTTAATTTTAGTGCAATATTTGACATTGTTGGACATAAAGCATCTATACTGTTTTTCGAAGTTGATGTTGAATGATTCTTTGATTTAATCAGTGTTAAAGTTGAAAAAAAATTTCCAGCTAAATATGAGTGCTGAATAGCAGAACAGTTTATGAAACTGAGGAAAATTTAGTTCGAGTTCCGATCCAAATTTCAGTCAAAGATTTTTGTGGAAAACATGTTTTAAGCTTGGATCATTCGATAGCTCTGCAAATTCTTCTTGAGCTTTATATGACAGGGGATTAATCTCATTAATGTTATTCAAACAGGGTTTCTGAATTCAGGATAACTTTTTAAAATCAAAATTCGATATAAAGCATTCACAAAACTCTGTTTCCGGGGTTTAGGCATCTGTAATGATTTTTGCAATTTTAGTTTTACAATTATTTTTTTCAATTGTAGATATATTAGGTATATTTGGAAGCAGGCAAGATGGAAAATTAGCAACGCGTTCACCGGGGATCGAACCGCGGACCTCTGGAATACGCACCCAGCGTGGAGACCACCCCGAAGGCATGCAAAGAAGGCCAGAGAAATACGCTATAGAGTTATAAAATTGTTGAGAGTCAACAGCATTTCGAATGAATATAATTTTTCACGCTATTCTTCCAAAAGCTGGGTTATATATATATATATATTTATACATATATATATAACTTTAAATGTTATTGTTCAAAGTAAATTGATATTTTTTCCTTGGAAAGACATGATGAGACCAGTTAATTTTTCAAAATTATCTGATAAACATGAAAGATTGATAAGACTTGTGCTGCAAGGGCCTTTCTGTTAAAAAATATAACATTTCATCTTTTTATAACAATATTCTTCTTAAAATTCGTCCTCTTGACAGTTTTGAGGATAATAATATATATATATTTTTTGTATTTGAAGTCCATGTCATTAAAAAGATTTGAAAAAAAAACGGCTGATAAAGGCCTCGCATTGTTAAAGTTCATAATTTTTACAGCATTCTGAATCACACCATTCAATTCCCTTGCTAATATTTTTTGCTGCAAGGGCCTTTCGATATACCATACATGATCATAATTAGCAGCTTTAATAAATGATTTAAAACCAATATTTCGCCCGTCACCCTTTTCCGCACCATCTGTGCATATTCCAAAGCATTTTTCGATTCTAAATTTTCAGTGTAAAGAAATTCTTCAACTTTACTATATACAAACTTTATTATATCTTTCCTTAATGTATAGTCTTCCAAATGATGACAAAATAATAATTCTTTATGATTGTTTTCTTCATAAATGTATGTGACATTACCATTTTTGAAATATCAGCTGTTTCGTCCAAATGAACAGTTTGATTTTTTCCTAAGTCTACTAATAAGTTGCTCGAATTGGAAATTGCTCACTTCAGAAATTCTATTGGTAATAATGTTGCTTGACAAAAGAATTTTCAAATTAATTTCCACATTTGCCTCGGAAAAGGATTTTTGTGGCTTTAATAGTTGCAGGTAAAACAAGATCTATTTCAATGGTATATGATTTTTATTTTTAGCAACCAGCTATGAAACTTGACTGTTAGCGAAAAATATTTACTCACAACCAGCGCAATGTGAGTAAATATTTTTCGTTAACAGTCGGAAATTTCTCAAAATACTGTTTTTCTTCATTTGAAGATTTTATCATTCGTTTGAAATATTCTTTTGGTTAATTGAGTGCGAAAGATGCACAAATAAAATAACTTGTCTCATAGTATAATCTCATAGTATATATTCAAATAAATACTAGCCTTAGTCGAGCAAAACAGTGAAATCCAATATTGTATTATTCTCGCGTTGTACACATTTGTCGCGGTGATGCAGAAACAATTGACTGTACTGGAAAGAATTATCCCTACAATTGTCACACCGGCGTTAACTAATTTTCAGCACGCCTGTATTCGCAGGACGTTCCGTACTGTGCTTTTGCGACGGCATATTTTGATTCTGAAATAATTTATATGCTGACATTGTAATGCGACACCGCGAGTATGATACATCTAGTGGAATTTTTCAGTACAAAAGTATATATTACAGCTCAACTTAATCAGTATTACGGTATAATTGTGCTGTACAGAAAACGTAATATATTAAAGAGAGTGAGACTAATTTTTCTTTAAATTCATGTATGTGAATTAAATTTTCACGGCCCAACATTTCTTTTAGCTATCTTATTTGGGATCACAATTCACACGTTAAGAAACGCTAGCGTAGAGACATAGCGTTAAAACCGACTGTTTCAACATAGGGAAGTGTGGCTAATATCCTAATTTACGTCAGAAGGTTATAAGCTGTAAAACACAGCATATGTTGGAGAAAAAATGCCTTAAAATATCGAATTTCGTTTCTAAAAGATAATTCAATGAAAAGTAAGAGGTAACGCTCTGGGCTGAATTCTAAAACTTTCTTCTAAAATCTAAATGGCATATATTCATGACAACAAAAAAGACTTGGTTATATCTTTCAGATTGCAGCCGAAAAAGTTCTATTGCATTAGTCGTGTCTATAATAAAGTTTATAGTACATCAGTTTCAGTTATTCAGTCTAAAGATGGTATTGTTTGAATGAGTATTTCTGTCAATGGGGTGACCAAACCTTGTTTTATTTATCCAGAGTCTAAACTTGATTCAGAATATTATACGCAGAAATTATTAAAAACATTTCTGAAACATGATCTCTTCAAAATGTATCCAAAAGAAGACAGAATGCCCCATAATATTCTTCAGATTCTTTACTTTCACACGTTATTAAAATTCTTTTGGATCAGTCGTTCAGTTCATAAAGCTTCATTAATGAATGCCAAACAATACTGAAGCTGTATTATTTGAATATTTCTTATGTAATGTGTATGAAAGAGAACTTAAAAAGAGTCTTAAAAAAGATAATGTCTAAGAAATGTTTAATGATGTTCCACAAATGTTGCTAGTTTTTATAAATTTAATTCATTGATGATTTATATTGATTAAACTTATTTCTTAAATTGGAATCATGGACCTACTGCATAGTATTCAAAAAACGTTTAGTCTTGCAGTCGCTCCGAAATATCCTGTACATACATATGAATCTTAGTGTAATAATTACAAAAAATATCATCATTTATTCTGTTTCAGGAACACCCGAAATTGCAGGACTGACAACTATACAAATATTGGAAATAATAAGGGGTCTGAAAGGCTCAAAAATTATTGGAGCAGATTTGGTTGAAGTAAGACTATAGTTTTCAATAGCTTTATGATATAACTAGTAAAATGAAAAAATAATTAATAAACTAAAAAATAAAAAACTGCAATATATATTTTACAATCAAAATAATTCGTTTCTAATCATTATTCTGTGAGTAAAATTAGAATTCACTCATATAAAAATAATATCAAACTTAAATCATTTAAAAGGGATTACTGAACAAGAATTTCCAACCCCTTGGGGATAGATACTCTTACATATTTTCATCCTTAAGTGCCTTTCCACAAATGAAGTTTTTTTTCTCATTTTATCTATTTTATCTTTAAAAAATTCAAGAAAACTATTCTTCTTGAATGAAGCATTGGTTCTTATTAAATTTCGGCAGGATGAAAAACATTAACGGAAAAAGATAAAAACTGAAGCGTATTACAGTAAAACTGCAAGTTTGTTTATCAAAAAAATAATCAGTATCAAATAATCACGTTTTTATGACTTGATTCTGAATTTGAGAACACGGTGCTGTCATATCAACCATCAACTTAAACTCTGTGATGTCATATCAGCCCATCAACTTAAAAGGTATTTCTCCCGCATTCTTAGCGTACCTTCGTGGTGTAATGGTCAGCACGCTCGGTGCGTATTCGAGTCCGGCGAGGGCATTGCGCGTCCGAGTCTGGCGAGGGCATCGCGCATTTTTCACGTCTCAGCATCAAAAATTCTAACTTCTCTACAAACTAACTTCTCCTTTTTATAAATAACTACATAACGTTGATTTTTATGCTATGACTACAAAAAATTATAATTTTTCGAATAAAATCTATTTATCTCTTAAATAGCATTATTAACCTCTATATTTTACAGGGAAGGTACTGATTTATTAACCTGAAAGACAAATAAAACTTCAAACAGATCTGAAAATAATTATTTAAAAAACGATCCGAAAATTCCTATTCAGACAAGTACTACTACGCATTTTAAATAGAATTGGTATAATATTAAAAGCTCACTAACAGCTATAAGCTATCAAGTTTAATTAACATCTGAAAGAGAACGCCTGTACTATATTTAATTGCATTAAGCATGCTACATAGCTGTAAAATGCCATACTCTTGCATTTATTTAACTGTAGTAATATGGTTTCGTTACTGATAAAACTGGTATTAACCAGCTAGCATTTGTAGAATAGTCTTATTTTGTATCTCTCGAAAGAGTACTTTATATAATGAATGAGATTAATGCCTGAAAATATTAATTTCAATTATACTTATATATTAGGCGGGCTGTAAATGATTTCATAATTTCAGAAACAAAGAATATAAAAAACTGCAAAAGTGGAGCGCCTTTATTCAAATAAAAAACATAGGCACCACATATAATCAATGATCAATTTCTGTATACACAAACAAAAGAAAAAAAAGGAAATTGTACTTAAGATTGAAGTGATTAAATCCAGTTGTTTCTAACTTCATTATACCGACATCTAAGAATCTGTATGAATTAAGAATCTTTCGTTTGAGCGATTAAGTATTTGACGAAGATGCAATGAAGATAACTAATATCTTGGCAGATATGACAGAATATTCACTGCTGTAAAATATGGCTAGTTTAATTTTTATGTTTAGTGAATTATCTTTCGCCTACATAGGCAATCAAGCCTGGACACCTGCCCTTCTTTATATTTTGTTACTTTTTCTTTTATAATGATATAGTTTTGACTTCACACTGTTTTTCCATTTTACTGCAGTGACATTTCAAGCTGTTTTTCTCAATGTTAATAATTTTGATACAGTTTTTAGTGAGTTGGTGGCTTTCGATCTCTTGCCACTACCAAGAGTTTATTCCCCGAGGGCTTTCTGCTTCAGGAAAAAGATACCTTCGCAAAGGACTTTCTTAGGAAAACTTATTTGTATCTACGTTTCGCATGGGAAAAACCGCAAAACATACATTTAGCCAATACATTAGCTAAGATTTACTGTCGGTAGACGCAAGACCGTAATCAGTTATGCTCGGTTAATAAAAAAAAGTATTTCAATTACTTAAATTCTACTAACAGGATAGTTTTGATTGGCGTCTTAATTAATCTTCATTTGTATTAAATGGAATTACTTACAGTTATCAGTAGCTTTGTTAAACTTATATTTATGTATTTCTATTAAAAATCACGTAACAATTCGTGAACAGAAGAGGTGAGCTAGAAGACAATTTTCCTCTTGATAGTAAGTTAATAATTTTTTATATTACTACGTCTAATACGTGCTTTTTTAATTTAAATGTTTTTCGGAAAACAACGTATTAATATTTCTTTATTTTGCATTTTTAAAGCCTGTTTTCAGTATTGAAATTTACTTAAAAGAAATGCATCAGTTTTTCTTCTCTTTTCTCTAGGTTTCACCTCCATATGATCCAGTTGGTAACACTGCACTAACTGCAGCGAATCTGTTATTTGAGCTCTTATGTTCTTTGCCACTAAAAGATCAAAATAGCTTTAGAAGTTTCAATTAAAGAACATAAATACATGTAACTCAAGAACTCTATATTTTTAAGCTAATATTTGAGGTATGATAAGACTTATTGCTCTAAAATTTTGTGAAATTAAAATTCTTTTTAACTAGCAAGATAATTTTAGAAGCAAAAGTTTAGACCTAAATTTTTGTCCAATATTGACTAGATATAATACTGCTTACACTCTTTGATACTTTCTTCCTTACTTTTGTTAATTTTTAACAGAATCGATTTCTGCTCACATACTTCAAAGGAGTTATTTCAGAACTGAATTTAATATCTATTTAAAATTTATGTAAAAAAATATTATTAAAATTGTTTTATAAACTTTAAATCTTGGTATGTTATATTAGAAAAAGGTTGTGCTTTTCTTCTAGACAAAGTATTTTATTAATTTTATGAAAAAAATCCAATACCAGCTTTATATGTATTCCAATCCAATAGAAGGAATTTTCTCCTGAAGTAATTTGTTTTCATGTTTTTCCACATTCTGACTTTATATGTGCAATATATTATCTAACTAATTAGAAAAGTAAAGCCTTATTCCGCTCAATTTAGCATACCAGGTCCACCCCCCCCCAAAAAAAAAACAGAGATCAATTGATCGAAAAAAAAAAGAAATATGTGAAATGGCTCAGATTTTAAAGGTCGCCCAAAAGGGTTTGTTAAGGTTTTTCTACGCTTTCAATGAGCTCGAAGACTATCAGTCTGCTGTTGCACTTCCTACTGCTAATTCAATTCTTTTTATCTTTTTATCTTTACGATTACGCATCATTTTCTCCGGACTTATGCCATACTCAGTTCAACAGCAAAATTACAAAAAAAAAAAAAAAAAAAAAAAAAAAAAAAGAAGAGGAAAAGAAAGAAAAAAAAGAAAGAAAGAAAGCTTTCATATTTTATATTACCCCCAAAGGAGTTTTTTTTTTTTTTTTTTTTTTAACGTTTTGTGTGTTACCTTTATTTATAAAACGTCACGTTCTTCGTACTTAAACCATTAAATTCAACTCAACAACAATATCACAAAATAATTCAAAAAGAGCATATCTTTAGAATTTCCGATACACAGTCTCGTGCCCTGGAGGTAATTTTTTTCACCCCCTTCGTACAATGTTGCCATTGCTCGCTTTCAAATCGTTAAGCTTGTTAATCAAAAATTCGTTAAAGTTTCGCAAATCTGAAAAAGATAATGAAACAAATTCCAAATTTGGGCTCCCAGATTGCCCATATTCGAGTGGAGGACTAAGTTATTCAAAATTTGATGTCTCCAGGTTCGGTTAATTTTTTCACAGTGAGAGAAACATAAATACGTTCATGCAGATTCATCATTATTTAACTTCTTGAAATATTATACAGGGTTCCAATATTTGGTGGCAACAATTTAAAACGTAAAACGCCGTTAACTCAAAATGCCAAAATGAAATTAATAGCCCTTCTGAGCAAATTGCACCTTTGGGCTAAAAATTTTAAAAGCAGAATTTTTTTTTTTAGAATTCCCGATTCAGTGTTAAGTGTTGGCATCCATTTTTCAATTTTTTTCAGTCTTTTTTTCAGTTTATCATATCACTGTACAGTTTTGTTAGTAACATGGCTTGCAAAACGTTTTTTTTTTATTTACAACGTTTTGCTTGTTAAATTTATGAATTAAATATCACGTTCTTCACACTCACACGACATAAAATTCAATTGAATAGCAAAATCACAAAATATTTAAAACAGCATATCTTTAGAATTTCCGACCTGGACTCTCGCCATGGAGATAACAATGTTTTAATCTGTACAGTGTTGCCACTATTCATTTTCATTTCATTGAGTCTGTTAAATATTCATTAAAGTTTTACAAAATATTAATATAAAATTCCAAATCCAAAATTCGGCCTTCAAGGTGCATATATTCGGGTGGAGAACTACTTTATTCAAAATTTGATAGCCCTAGATTTGATAGCGCAACCATCATGTTTTCATAATGCGAGGAATATAAATATACATACTGTTACGGATTTGGTATTTAAATAGCTAATGTTAGTTGAATTATAAATTAAATTGTTTTATTCTCCGTGGAGTGTAGCACGTGACGAATATTGAAGGAAATAAGCTAAGCCGGAAAATTAAAAATACAAGAGCACGTGCATTTAACATTTAATAAATAAATAAATATCTCTTTTTGATTTCGAGAAAGTTTCAGAAAGTTCTCGGGCGCGATTTAAAATTTTATAAAAGGAGGAAAACTTCTCAGTCCGTTATTTTAGTTAGTTTGCTGTTGTTTTAAGAGTTTGCTTAGAAAACTGTTCTTGTTGACTGTAGCGAATTCGCGAATTAGCTTTCTTTAGCTGTTTTGACCTAACTTCTGTTGAACGTTTGAATAGTTAAAAGATAACTAATGTGAGCTATTGTAATATTGAAAGAATATCTAAGTAAATTTAAGCATTTTTTGGTGATAATAATAAATTTTGTCCATTTTTCATCGGACTTGTGCATTCAATTCAAACGAACCCGTACGCACGCAACAATACATACATACAGATTCTTCATTATTTAATTTCTGTAAAAATAACATAAGGCGATAATATTTGGTGGCAACAATTTGAAAAGTGATTCGCCGTTTACAGCGGACGATTCCCCATCCCAATTCTAGACTAATAGCCCATTCTGGCTAACGCTTTTTGGGCTAAAAAATATGTTCTTTGTTAGAGCAAACAAAAACAAGCAAACTGAGCAATGTGGCAAATTTATTTATAATAAAATATGAGGTTATAGAGAGCATTTCAAAATATTGTGCGACTAAATATTACTTCAACGACTGGTCACAGAATCGTGGTTTCAGTTTGAAACATGAATCTGTAATATCTTGTTATTTAATAAATAACCATATTTATTGTGACGTTTAAGTGGCAACGCCATATTTATATTATGTTACCGTTGCTCAGCAACGTGAGAAATTGTTTTAAAATTAGATTCTGAAGTTTTTACCAGCTAGTAGTAGTATGAAAGTTTTGCCACTAAAGAATTTCTTCAAATTATCTATCTACGTGAATTAGAAATAAAATTTATGTTCTAATAAGAAGTTTGCCTGTTTTGTGAATTACTGCAAATACATTACAATATTAATTAATTGGAGGTTCCCCCGAGATACTGGAAATTAGGAGTGCAATTATCAATTTCGACGGTGCTGGTCTCCTAATCCCAGAAATTTGCTGAAATTTTTAGAACAAGTTTGCTAATACCAATTGCCGAGTTTGTTTGTTTCAAGGAGAAGTGGGTGTAAGAAGTCTGCTGTTTTAAAGCCAGATTTAAAGCGGATCATTCAAAGGTTATCTTCTGTGCTTCTATAACTTGCATCCGAGCAAAAATCTGTCAAAACAGGATACTGCTGATCTCTGAAGATAAGATTAACTTTTGGTTTTCTTAAAAAAGTTTTTATTGAATTTTAATACTTTGTTTCAGAATTATAGTTTATCGTGTAAGATTTTGTTTTTAAAATAACTGACACTAAAAATATTCAGCAATATTATACTTGATATTTGTGGTAAAGCAGTATTTTACAATTATTATTTATGCTTTATTTTTATTTGTATTGAATTTTTATGTTGATAATTGATATGTGTAAGCCATCCCGGCATTTTATATATATTATATATATATATATATATATATATAAAGAAGTTTTTGAATTTGTTGCCAAGCAGGCGCGTGAAAAATAAGTAATAACTTCAAACTGACGTAGTGTGATTTGATTATACTGCAGAATTGGCAAAAGTCTAAGTTCTCGCCATCCAGGCGTGTGGTAGATAGTAACGTCATCCCGGCGTATTACAGATTCTATATTCTAAACGTTGTATTGCCAAACTGGCAAAAATTGTTTTTGTTATCGCCAACCAGGAGTGGAGATAGATAGTAAAATCGTCAAACTGACGCGGGTAAAATTCCATTGTATTGCCTAACTGGCAAAGGTGTTTATATAGTTATAGATAACGAGGCTTGTGAATAGTGAGTTGAAACGTCAACCCGACGTAGTCTTAGAGTATTTTGTGCCAACCTGGCAAAGTTGTTTAAATAATTCTCTCTAATTGGTTAGTGTGAATTTCGTATTTGAGAAATACGAAAGCCAGATTTGAAGTCTCGCCAGAAATTATACATTTTTAATACAAGTACGATCTTTTAGATTCAATTTCAAAAGGAATCCTAATAAAGGTAACTTGTGTCAACATGTCATTCTTAGCTAGGAGTAAAAAACAGGATTTAAAAGTACTAGCAGAAGAGTTAGGTTTAACCGTGAAACCTGAATTTAAGATTGCTCAGTTGCATAAACTGATTACTGAAAGTCGCGGTTATGATGAGAAGAGAACTACTGGCTGCAATTAGAGAAGAAAGGGAAAGAAAAGAAGAACGCGAAAGAGAAGAAAGAGAAAAAGAAAACGAAAGAGAAGAAAGAGAAAGAAGAGAAGAACGCGAAAGGGAAGAAAGAGAAAAGGAACGCGAAAGGGAAGAAAGAAGAGAAGAACACGAAAGAGAAGAAAGAGAAAGAAAAGAAGAGCGTGAAAGAGAAGAGCGAATTAGAGCCTTTGAGCTACAGAAACTTCAGTTGGAAGCAATGGCTGCAACAGTACAGTTAAACTACAGAAACTACCTGAGCAGTTACCTGAGCAGCCTTTAAAAATCAGAATTCACGATGTCATATCACGTTTCAACCCTAAAGAAGATGAAATAAGTTTATTTCTGGTGTTATTTGAGCGTCAAGCTAAAATAATGAATATACCTGCTGAAAATCAAGTGACTCATCTTATTTCATTGCTGCCTCCTGACATTGTTCAGCTTATTGCTAGAGAACCAGAAGAGGACGCGAGAAAGTATTAATATGTAAAAGCTTTATTGTTACAACGATTTAAATTGAGTGCGGAAAAATTTCAACAACTATTTAATAAACACCAAAAATCTACTGAAAGTACTTGGTATGATTTCTAATAAAGAATTATTTAGAAGGATAGCTTAACGGATTAAACATTAAAACTTTTGAACAGCTAAAAGATCTCATGCTGGTTGATCAAATTAAAAAACGTACTTCTCCTGATTTCAAAGAACATTTTAGGGATCAATGGACATCCCTCATTTCACCTACTGAAATGGTTAATACTGAATATTTTGAAGATGCGAGAAAAACAAGAAAACCGAAATTTTCTGCCAATCAGACTGATAAAATTAACAAAGGATCATTTCAAACCGCGTTATGATAATTT